GGGTCCTGGGATCGAGCCCCGCATCGGGCTCCCTGCTCAGCGGAAAGCCTGCTTCTCCTCTCCCACTCCCCCTGCTTGTGTTCCCTCTCTCGCTGTGTCTCTGTCAAATAAATAAAATCTTAAAAAAAAAAAAGATTCCCATCCTTAAATATTATGTGGGTTTTCACCTTTTAAATTTTTACTGTGGTAGGGGGCGCCTGGCTGGCTCTGTGGGTTAAGCCTCCAACTCTTGGTTTTGGCTCGGGTCATGATCTCAGGGTGGTGGGGTCGAGCCCAGTCAGGCTCCCAGGCTCAGCCAGGAGTCGACTGGAAATTCTCTCTCCCTTTCCGTCTCCCTCTGCCCCTCCCCACACATACTCACACTCTCTCTCCTTCTCTCTAAAATAAATGGATGAATCTTAAAAAAAAATTTTTTTTTAAATTTTTACTGTGGTAAAAATATATATTAACATAAAGATGCCAATTAAACCATTTTGAAGTGTACAAGTATCAGCATTAATTACATTCACACTGTGGTACATCCATCACCACTACTTCCAAAATGTGTCCATCACCCCAAGCAGAAAATCTGTATCCACTGACCACTAACTTCCCATTCGCCATACCCCCAGCCCCTGGTAACCGCTCATCTCCTTTCTGTCTCTATGAACTTAATACCAGGCATTCTTACTTAACTGTATATACCTCCTAAAATGTAGCAGCAGTAGAAAAGAATGGAACCTGAGGTGAAAAGGAAAAGGGTGTTGTGGGTTAAAAAACCAAACTCTCACTTTCTGAAAACTTTATTATGACTGAGTAGTTTTATCCCACCCATTCAGAGAAAACTGAATGTCCCTCTGCTGTGCTAATTCAGCGTCTTTCTTTCTTCTTTCAGTGACCATGCAGCAGGTGGCCAGGACCGTGGCCAAAGTGGAACTCTCGGACCACGTGTGTGATGTGGTATTTGCGCTCTTCGACTGTGATGGTGAGTGGGGCCCTCTCGAGTCCGGCGGGAAAACTGAGCCTGACTGTCCTGGAAGTGGCCACAGTTGATACTGGAGGCTTGCAGACCACCCCAGTGCACTAGCCTGAACCTCTTCACCTTACCCCTCTCCCACAGCGGTAGCTCAGCCATCAGCGCCATGACACTGAGAACCAGAACCCCCGGTCCTGGTTTGTGTTTTCCATTTCTTCTTGTAATTCCAATTTGTCTAGTTCCAAATCCTTCTACGTGAATGTATAACCATAAGAATCTTAAAAAAAAGGAAACGATTCAACTCTGGTAGTGTTTTTAAAAGGTAAATAAACTCAAATATAAAAGCTCCAAAAAAAAGGAAACAAGAATATTAGACCCAACTTGCTGCTTCATAGACTAGGAGCACGCGATTATCTGACTGTGTCTAGAAAGAAGGTGGTCCTGATCTCTCCCCCTCCCAAAGCACATTGCGGTCATTCACATTTCTGCCTCCCAGCTCGCAGTGGTCTGTTGTGTCTGTGACCACTCTGGAGGTTAGCCCATGTGAGAAGTCCTGGTTCATCAGCTGTCATGAGTTCTCAGCTCTGTCGCCTGACATAGTACAACTACTAATACTCACCACAGAGACTTACGCTTTTTCTCAGTGCTTACTAAGACCCAGGCATTGTGCTAAGCTGCTCAGGTAACCCTCTGACGGAGGAACTGTTTTGCACCACATTTTCCAGATAAGGACGCTGAGACTCAGGTGAAGTCATTTTCCCAGGAGCACACAGTTAGTGGTAGATAGCATAGCTAGGATCTGAATCCAAGCTGGCCGCCTCCCTCTATTTTCTGTTCCCTCCCCTGCTTGTTTCCCAGCCAGAATTCATTGCTCATCTTCCTCTAGGAAGCGAGGCTAATGGAATCCAGGAACCAGGTCAAAAGTTCCTGCCTCGGTGAAACCTCTGTTCTGGTCCCAGCGTAATAATGAGTCACTCTGGCTTTTTCATTCCTTAACTTGTTTCAGTTTGTCTTCATTACTACGTGTTGTACTCTATCTCTGTGTATGTGACCTAATAACTTCCCTACTAAATTGTGAGCTTTTTAAAAAAGTGTTTACTTTAATTCCAGTGTTATATTAGTTTCAGGTGTACAATATAGTGATTCAACAATTTTCCATACATCACCTGGTGCTCATCATGACAAGTGCACTCCTTAATCCCCATCACCTATTTCACCCATCCCCCTCCACTCACCTCCCCTCTGGTAACCATCAGTTTTCTGTAGTTAAGAGTCTGTTTCTTGCTTTATCTCTCTTAATTTTTTTCCTTTTGCTTATTTTGTTTCTTAAATTCCACATGAGTGAAATCATATAGTACTGGTCTTTCTCTGATTGATTTTGCTTAGCATTATACACTCTAGCTCCGTCCATGACATTACATATGGCAAGATTTCATTCTTTTTATGGCTGAATAATATTCCTGTGGGGGTGTGTGTGTGTGTGTGTGTGTACATATACATACAAAGCACATCTTTATCCATTCAGCAGTTGGTGGACACTTGGGCTGCTTCCATATCTTGGCTATTGTAAATAATGGTGCTATAAATAAATGGTGAGCTTTTTAAGGGTAGTAGCAAGTCCTTTGTTCACCTTTGGACCCTTTCATAGGACCTCGGGTACTACTTTGCGCATAACAGGTGTTCACTAACTTAAGTTATTGAAGTTATCTAGTTGAACTTGAGTTATTTAAACCTCCCACCTGCACCCATAACCAAGGTCTGAGTGAAAGAAAACTCCAGGGTTAGGACAAGAAGATGGCCTCACCCTCAGGTAGGGGTGGGTTATTCTCTAGTGCTACCCTGTCCAATATGATATTCTACTAGTTTCGTGTGGCTATTACATTTAAATTAATTAAAATTAAAAACAGCTCACAGCTCCCCTCTTCTAGGAAGGCCTGAGAAATGAAATTTGATTTTCCAGCCTTTTAGAAGGAGATTCTGTCAATATCTATTTGAATCACCTTTAAAAAAATCATTTAACATCTCTGGGGCTTATTTTCTTAATCTACAGAAAAAGGAAGTACATATTAAGTTAAAAAGCCATTGTTATTTCTACCAGCACTAGATCTTAGGTCAAAATGCCAAAGGACGTTGACTTTTCAGACTTGTTCACCTCAGAATTTAGAGTTGCACTCACAGATCACATGTGCACACAGATGACATTCAGTCATATACCTGCTTCATAAGTAACAGAAGCCATTCACATTGATCAGCTCTGGCCTCAGGGAAGCAGGAAGCAAATCCCCTGGCAGCCTAAATTACCTCAGATTTTTTCATCTTAAGCCTCTCTTTATAAAAATATTAAGAATCTCATTTAGACCTTTTTTATTCTTTTAATTATATTCTTTTTTTTTAAAGATTTTATTTATTCATTTGACAGAGAGAGAGAGAGCGAGAGAGGGAACACAAGCAAGGGGAGTGGGAGAGGGAGAAGCAGGCCCCCTGCAGAGCAGGGAGCCCGAAGCGGGGCTCCATCCCAGGACTCTGGGATCATGACCTGAGCCACCCAAGCGCCCTTTTAATTACATTCTTAATAAGCCATATTACTGATTACTTTTCAGCCAGCCAGGTTACTTTTTAACTCTTTATATTGAAGTATACATACAGAAAAGTGCAAATATCATAAGTATACCGCTTGCTAAATTTTTAAAAACTGAACACACCTGTGTAACCAGCATTAGCCAGAAACATCACATTAGCAGGACCACAGAGCCCCCTGGTGCTGCCTTCCAGCCACTTCCTCTCCCAAGGGCAGTCCCTCTCTTGACTTCGAATGACACAGATCAGGTCTCCCTGGGTTTGCTTGTTTGATCTTGCTGTGGGTATCTCTGAGGCTGTCCGTGTTCCCTTCAGCCAGAAAACAAGGGTCAGTTTAGGTTTTCAGGTACTGTCTACAAAAGTAAACCCTGTGCTCCTTCTTTCCACTCTCTTCCCAGACCAACCGTTAGTAAAAGTCTGTTTTATGGTTTCCTGTTGTCTTATCACCACCAGTAACAGCTGCCATTCTTTTAATCAGCAGACATTTACTCCGGGGCATGTAGTCAAAGGGTAACTACCCTCTACTGTTGAAGTGGTTACTGTTCTGTGTGGCTTGAGAGGTTGACCTTTGGTTAAACCAGATGCTGTCCAGGTTCCTCTCCAGACCTGAGAGTCTGTCACTGAAGAGGGTGGAATGGGAGGCCATGAGAAAATGGGCTTCACCCAAAGCCAGATTTTGACTTTGGTTTTTACCATGAACTGCCCCCTCCGTCTCTCACCTGGACTATTGCAGCGGCCTTCCTGACTGACTCCCTACTGCCGCTCTCCAGTCCCATCCCCATACATCCAGCCAGAGAAATCCATCCAAAATGGAAATCTAACTCCATCTCACTTACTCACTTCTAGTCCTTTCCTGGTGCTCTACTGCCTAGAAGATGAAGCACAAGCCCTTTAATGAAAATACAAGAGCCTTGGGGACCTGTCTCCTGCCCGCCTCTTCTGTTCACGACCCTGCCCGTGTGTGCACTTCCTAACTCCTCAACAGTCGGGCTGCTCCCTGCCTGTGCCTTTGCTTGTGCCCCTCCCGACTACCTAGAACGCCTCCCTCGTCTCATTCCCCTCTAATTGGCCAATTTCTGCTCATCCTTTGGGATTCAACTTAGGAGTCACCTCCAGGAGGCCTTTACAGCTCTGTACTTGCACCACCCCCAGCCTGGGTTGGATCCCTTCCTCCGTGCCCCCATAGCATCTTCTGTTTACCCCACGATGGCATTTACCACGCTGTTGAAATAATGTATTTGTCTCTCCCACAGCCTGGGAGTATCTCAAGGGACCAAGTCCTATTTACAAATCTCTTTATTCTCAACTCCTAGTATAGGACCTGACCTACAACGTATTCTTGTTCAACCTCTGTCGCGCTACACTAAACTGTCACTGACTTGTAATCGGAAACATCAAGGAAGGAGCAAACCATTCCTTTGAATTTGGCTGTGAGAGTGCACTGGGCTCCGGAACCCACCTTGTGTGAACGATGGAATTTTCTCAGTGTCTTTGTTCCAAGGCCTCCACTTATCCCTCTTGTGTTTGTCTCTTCCTCTAGGCAATGGGGAGCTGAGCAATAAGGAGTTTGTTTCCATCATGAAGCAGCGGCTGATGAGAGGCCTCGAGAAGCCCAAAGACATGGGTTTCACCCGCCTCATGCAGGCCATGTGGAAATGTGCACAGGAAACTGCCTGGGACTTCGCTTTGCCTAAACAGTAACCCAGAACTGCAAGAGGGAACTCCTCCTCCACCCGAAGCACCCTGACCCCTCGAGCAGAGCCTTGGCACAACCCTTCCGGCTGCTGCTTCTGAAAGTAGTGCTCCCTTCCTTTTGGGAATGATCTCAGGATTCACCCAGTTTCCCCTCTCCGCCCTTCCCCTGGCTCAGCATTTCTGTGAGGCTCTGCTTCTGCCCAGTGATCATCCCCATAGGTTCTCAGAAACATGAACGAGTCCTAAGAGGTCAGACTTCTGGCACCTTCATCAGCTCTATGCTACTTCAAGCAACCCTATGGATAAAGAATGCAGGGAACCATCCACATGCCTGCCCACCCCGGGAAACACCCAGTTCTCGAGTCATTTTGGCTGTGGACTTACATTAAGAACATTCCTTGCTTTTCCTCCCACTGGTGTTTTTAAGCCACAAGTTGGGAAGACGTCTCAAAGGCAGAAGGAAGGCTGTGATGAATGGTCATGAGGAAGAGCCGGGCAGCCTGAGCTGGCGGGAAGCCTGGGCCAGAGAACGGATCCATGTCGGTCCCCAGGGTGGCTCTGAGGCCTGCCCTGGGAAGGTGATGTGCACGGCGGGGGTGGAGCAAGATTTGGAATTTCGAGCACCTGGTTCCCGGCTCCCTCAGAGGACTCCGCCGCGACTCGGTGCCTAATGGGCAGCAGTGATTGAGTCCCGCGTTCCCTGCAAGGGCCATTTCCCTCCAGGAGTGCGTCTCTGAAGCGGAGGCCTGGCTCACAGCCTGTCTGCCCTCTGTCTTAAACACTTGTAAAATATCACTTTAATTATAACAGTTTGCAATAAATTCTCCCCCACCCCACCAAAGGCTCTTGTGTCTTTTAGGATCCTCTGGGGTACTTTTCATTTCTCCACTGGGTTTGAGATCAGGCTAGCAGCAGACCTGTTTTCTTTCTACCACAGTCTGGTTCTCCCTGTTGAAAGGCAACTTTAGACACAAAAAGTGAGGGCATTGGGAGGTTAATGGTGGCATCGTCCCCACAGTTTGGATGGCATTTCATCTTAGGCCAGGTGCATAGTCCTTGATAACTCAGACCCCACGATTAGGAACTGAGATGGGGTGGGAGAGTGTATGAGAAATCATCGGGTGTGGCAGACCTCAATGTAAGAACCGCAGCACCCAGTGTCTTATATGGACTCCACTCTGACTCAGTGTGGCCTTGAACAAGCAAGTCATTTCCCATCTGTGTCCTTAACTGTAAAATGTCAGGGTTGAGCTTAATGGGCTCTCAGGTTTCTTCTAGGGCCAAAAGCCTCTCCTTCGGTTCTCCTCCAGAATTCCTGCAGCCTCCAGAACCTCCAGGTAATGCTCCCTGGCGTGAGAGTGTCTCAAGTCCAATGTAATAGAACCGCCACACCAAAACCCTAGTGCTCTCTGCGAGGCCTGGAAGTCGGTAGGGGGTGTTTATCTGCCAAATAAGAGCAGCGGCCTGGGTCTCTGCACCTGTGACAGTACCAAGCCCAGCATCTTCTCCAGAGCAATTTAACAGCCTATTTCCAACCTCCTTTCTGGGAGCAGATTAGGTTATTTCTCAATCTACCTCACTACCTCATCTACCTTCCACTCTTCCCTGTCTTGGGATACGAATTCCTGGTACCCAAGTGTTAGCCGTTGCCTTGCTCATCGCTCCGGGGCTGAGGCATCAGCAAAATGGGAACTCTTCTTAAATTTGTCCCAGAATCCCCAAATCACTCTTTCCCTCAATCCTCGTTTCTCCAGCCTGAAAGAGAAGTCCCATTCACAGCTTTCATGGGGCATTCATTGCCCTGCAAGAAGAGATCTGCTGATTGGCCTGGGTTCACTGAAGCTGAAAGGGAGAGCACAGCAGGGGAGGGTAAAGAACTTACCCTCATCTTGAAACCCACTGTCAAGGGCCCTCACCTATTACAGGTACATGGAATTCCAACTGGGCTCCTTTAGCCACTAGGAGTGCCCGAGGACGCACTGGGGGTCCAGGTGCTCAAGAAGACAGGCTGGCCACACTTCGGCACAATAGGGTTAAATATGCAGGTGAGAGGTACCAGCTAAGTCACCCAGAAGAGGCCAGGGTCCCCCAAAGAAGTCCTTGAGCAAGGCGTCATGTGAGCAGGCTGAGAGGATTTCACGAAGCAGCACTTGGGATAGGCTGGGAGCACTGGCGAATACAAAAGGCCGATATGTACTTTTTTTTTTTAAAGATTTTATTTATTTGACAGAGAGAAACACAGCAAGAGAGGGAATACAGCAGGGAGAGTGGGAGAGGGAGAAGCAGGCCTCCCACTGAGCAGGGAGCCCAATGCGGGGCTCGATTCCAGGACCCTGGGACCATGACCTGAGCCGAAGGGCAGAGGCTTAACGACTGAGCCACCCAGGCGCCCTGTGCTTCTCTTTTTATTCAAATTGTTTCTTCTATCTAGATAGAATAATCCGCCCCTCTTCCTTCAAGCCTCCACTCCAGCAGTCCCCTCCTTTAAAAACCCACCTGGGGGCACCTGGGTGGCTCAGTCGTTAAGCGTCTGCCTTCGGCTCAGGTCATGATCCCAGGGTCCTGGGATCGAGCCCCGCATCGGGCTCCCT